AGGTGTATTGGGCGTCCTGGACGTTCGATCTCGTCCAAGGCGCATAAGACTCACCCACTAAAGGATTGCAGTTTTCTCACTCCGCCCCGCTGCCTTGCGGTTGAAGCTTCGGTTTACCAAAAGCTCTGATTGGGACCCTCAGGAGAACGTAACTTTAGTCTAGGTAATGTGGCGGTGGTATTCGACGCACGAGCAGATCGTGGACCTACTTCCGTTTTTGTGCCGCGATTTGTTTCACATAGTTTGAATCCGGACAACTTTGGAATGTAATAAAATGAATAATAAAAATCAGTGTAAGATAATACCTTCCATAACGCCTAATTATAGCAACAAACACGAGAAAACAATAGAGTTTCACCCATAACTTGCTCTTCCAGAGGGCGAGACCAATGCAAAACCAGTGTTGATACGCGATTCGTCACAATCAGTATTAGTCGGCGGAAATAAAACAGCAATGCTGATTGGGAAGTGAGATTGCTAGCATTTTCACTCTATTTGGCTATCAACCTGGTACCTGTATTTTTTCCTCTTCCCCTTTTTACGGAAAAAACCTAATACTTGGAGAGTATTGAGAACGGTGAAAGGATGCGTAGCGTGCTTCCCTGAACGAACTTAAAGGGGACAAGTAAGAATATCACTACTACCAACACAGTCATATCTCATCATATCTGCAGCTATAATTCGGGCGAGCCCTCTAGATCCTAACTGGATGATCTGACTCAACTTGATCACCTTAGCAACAAGGGACTTTCGTCTTTATATATTTTCAATAATCAATTGTCTGTGCCTATATTGTAAACTCTTTATTTTGTAATGCGTCTTGTGCTGCGGACGTTTGCACGGGCCTCAGGTAATCCTTATAAAATATACTGAAGGGAAACTATATTCTAAAATGTATGCATTTAGTATACACCGCCCCATTGTCTTGCGGGTCAGGCTTTGGCTAGTGTAAAGCTCCGGTTGTGAATTTCCTAAGAAATTTACTTGCCTTGGTCTGGGCACTCTAGCGGTATCGCGTCCAGGAGCAATTCGTGAAACCTTTTTTTCTTAAAAATTATTGTACTTGAAATATTTGAAGCATTTGGTTCTCTTTATCCATTTCATCAATAGAGAAAGAAGACAAAGTCGCTTGCTGTTAGCATTTATTTCAATCTTCTCAGTCACTGACTTAGAACAAACAGGCATATATATATATATATATATGCATGCTTCTAGTGCATATCCAGAAGTCTGTTCGACAAGTCGTCAAATTATTAGTGCTAGGTGTTTCTAACGAGTACAGTTCTTTCTATTCATGTGAGTATTGAAATGTAAAGTGCATAGTATGTATAATCATAGCATGATTGTCTAGCCTATGACCTTCTTTGTGATACAAAATGGGCATACAAAAGAATGAAAGAGTAGTGGTCTGTAGATAAACGGTCACGTGAAGTAATTTTATCTGCATGTCAAACTGGGGCACCTAGATTATACAATCAAATCACATGACCAGTGCACTATTGATTTGAGCTCTCTTTCAATATCACAGGCGAGCGCACTGTCCCATTTTCGGTCTCCACCTCCGGAAAAATGCGGTTGGATGGTCGATTTATCGAACGCAATAATATAGTTGATCCATTTTTTGCAGGAACCCGGCAATGACGCATCGAATGCACGATCACTGTATATTGACGATCAAACGAATGTTACTGTTTGGTACTCTTTCAGTACGAGTTATTTACGAAACCGCGGTGTCGACCGGGTCTCAGAATTTTTGCCTATTTCTTGGAGAAAGGCATTCTGGTGAAGAGATGGGGATAAAATATCTGAACTAAAATGAAGCAATTTTTGTGAAGTGGGCGTCTGATTGGGTCCCGAACTTATCTGATGGCTTGATCATGTTTCGTTATACGCATCGAATTATAAAGATTATTGTACCGTTATTTGCTTGGCACATAGTCAAACATGCAACAAATACCGATGTACCGTTGTGTACAGTTGCTCAATACATCAAAGGAACACCAGTCTATGAAGAAATATTACAAGAATAAATTAATTTCTCTCCGTTTCGTACTTTATTTACTCGAAAGACAGGAGTAATCCACTATTTTAGTCAACTTGGCTGTGGCAGTAATACAATTTTAGCATTCGTGCAACATCCGTTACTTGAACATTATATGTGACCGTTCACCTCGTACGGTGTGCATAGACATGTCAACTTGTATCGATGTGTTCCAAGTATCGTATGAATCTGACGAGGCAGTTGAAAGAATAGCACTCTGGATAAACCTCTGGTTTTAGCCCGACGAAATTCAGTGTTAGTCCGCACTGATCACACCGTGATAAGCATTCTTAATGTACACTCTTTTTGTTGAGGCAGATCATGATTAGATAAAAGTTGATGATTCGTAAACTGACCGGTTCACGTTACATTCCCTAGCCGGGTCCACAGCAGTGCAGTAAACAAACCTCACAGCAAATAATCATATTGTTTTCATCTGAGTTTATCGTGCCAGTACCTTGCCAATCCTTTACTGATTCGTTAATGGAAGGGTATTCGTTGTACAGGGTGAACTTGTCACTCACCACAGCTATATAATCGTTGTTCGTAGTAACTGGCAAAGTATATCCTCCGAATCCACCGGGGCAGAACTGAACTACACATATCGCTTCACATGTTTATTCGCTTACCCAACGGATTTCGCTAAAAGCGACTAATGAAACCCAGGATTTGTTTTCCGTAATCTGCCAAACAACATGATATAAGACCGTTCGCATTGGTTAACAAAAGAAGGATATTGGATTTTTTCGAATTTTATGTTAGCTGCCTATACTATATTGCTGAGTCATGAATAAGGGTGACCCAATCGCAGATGCCGAATTTCTAGATTCCGTCTGAGCAGTGACCATTGATTGCAATTTTTCAATTTTTGCGATTGCAGAAAACGAATTCAACCAAACATCACTTGGTACTGTGAAAACGCAATTGCGAGAACAGTCTTCTCGAATGAATACAGCGTACGCCGAAATTTTGGAGGTCGTGCTTTTCGATCCAGTTTCGACAATGAAACAACCAAAACGGGGATTCTCTATTCGGTGATAACTGAAGCTATGGTCAATCAGAAAATGTGAAAAGGTCCCAACATTGAGTCCCTATCGGAATGTTATGCACGAATGTATCCAATGTATCCAAACGGAATGCGATAAAAATATGAAGACGGCGCTACCAATGCAGGTTCTTTTACCTAGTTGAGGTTTAGTCTATCCGTGTTGCTCGCAATCCTAAATAGACTTTTACTGCATACCCTTGATCAGTGTTTTAAAAACTGCATCGAGAGTATTTTCACACCGCGTTCAAGGTGGCCTTCAGTTCAGTGAAAGGATTGCCGTTCTGGGGATTTCACTAAAAATCGCCCGTCTCCATTGGAAACTTCTGAGGGTTATTATCCCCACTTATTCCACTTAACCTCATTGTGCTAAACGACAAAATGAAATACTCAGGTCTATCTATGCAGGCTGTTGCATTATGAGTGCTGTCCAGGATTGTCAACAAACTCCAAACATCCTCAGGAATCGCGTTCCAAAACATAGCTTATCATTTATCGATAGATTGCTCATTAAATACAATTTCTTCCTTCCGGAAGTCATGCCGATGGAAATGTGAATTATCCACTCGGTTCAAGTTGAACATTTTATCGTCACTCTTTCCCATTGGTTGGTCCAGCAAATGTGTTGTTTGACCCACGATAATGGTTGTAGAATATGACGCTGATTCAACAAAGAAACCGATGGCGCAAGCGTCTTGTACTTCAAGTAAGGGCGCTTGTCGAGGCTCCTTTGAGTCTTGTTGTATCAAAATAAACTTGAAACAGGCAAGTCAGAAGATAAACACTGCGAGAGGAATTCCCTTCGTATACTCTCATCGGCTGCATACGTATAACATCGAACAAGATAGACAAATGAAGCGAATTAAAAAATCTAGCTAGTATTAACCATGTGTATGTGATTGTGTACAGTGTGATGCACGTGATTGGTTACAGCCAGGGAAGGCCAAGGGTAAAGATCATACGCTTTTGGACGC